ATTGGGTTAAATTTTCGTACACAATTCCTCTAGCCCTATTCCTATAACAGGCGTAGAAGGTAATATTTTACTTATTTTGTTTGGCATTTGTGTTTCTCTTTCTTTCTTATGAAGGTGACCAGCCGTCATCGATCTCGTCTTTAGATTTTGAGTTAGAATCCCAAACATCCAAATCACCTGTCATAATTTCATAAAAGGTTGGACGATTGGGTGCATTTGGTCTATCTATCCCCGGATGGACGTAATTGATAGTGATTTCTCATTCTACCTCAAACTTCACTGGGATGGCTTCTTCCAGAAGTTGAGGTCCAAACTCCTCAACTGAGGGTTTACAGGCATCATGCACATCAGAAAATATTTGTTTCTTCTCTGCAATGGAAATTTGATCAAATGATCCAAACGAAACCATCAAGCAGGCGGCTATTCGATTCTCTCCAGTTTCAAGTTTGATCTTATTTTCTTTGTCCAGACGAACAATAAGATCTTTCAAGACGAAGCATTCTTCCACTTGGTAGCTAATAATTTTGTGAAATTTACAGTATTTAGGATGATCGATCTTACCAGCTTCCTTAGGTCTTTTTGGTATTGGAAGTTCGATTATCTTCTGCTCAAGGAGATGATCCAGATTTTTAGAAACTTTAGAATTTGGGAATGGGTACTCCTTTCCTTCAAGTTTTTTTAGAGTCACATGACCTCTACTGTGGACTTGTCCTTTGTTAGGTCTAAACTCTGACTTTGGTTTTGGGTTCGAGCTTGACCCGTAGAAGGCTATCTTTGTAGGAATAGTAGAAATTGCCATAGCTTCTTTGGATTTACTTGCCCTGACGTCTTTCTTTATTTCTTTTTTAAGATCTTTCTTATCACGTAGATCACTTGGTAAGTAACTCCCATACCTTTCAATTCAGAGCTCCAAGTTATGAGCACGTGTCGCCAATTGAAGATTATAAAGTAATCCCCAATGCATGCCTTGTACACACATGTCGATGGAAGATGCTTTGCTTATTCGTTCTTTGTAATTAAGCATGAGGTTCCTCTAACATTCAATGTACTCCACAACACGTTCTTCCTTACTCTGCTTTGTTTGAGCAAGTTATGGAAGACTGGCAGTTCACCAGGTGCTATAGAAGCGTGTTGTGAACTCTCGCTCGAACTAATCCCAACTATTAATTGACCCTATTAGTAAGTCTATGTACCATTCAAATGCAGAACCTTTGAGGAAACGTACGAACTACTTCACCATAGTGTCATTATAAGTACCTACATTGTTACACGTCTCAATAAAATAAGCAACATGTTGCTTTGGATTGCCCTTTTTCCATCAAAACACTGAAATTTCAGAGGTTGATAACTGAGTGGCATCCTTATTTTGTCGATTTGACGACTATAGGCCTTGACATACAACAATGAAGATTGTAACGAACCATCATACTGGGCACGAATGGTGTTTGCAATCATATGTTGAAGTTGTTGGATGGATATAGAGCCGACAGAGAGTTGATTGGTGTAACGCAATACGTTATGAACAATTGTCCGATCATGCATATCTTGCTTTTGTTGGCACTCTTGGAGTTCTAACTCTTTGGTTATGGAAGATCTTGAATTTTCCTAATATTCTTTAGTCGGTGGATTTTGCGACTCTAGCCTATATATGAGTGCAGTAATCTATGCATCTTTGTCTTCCAACGACTTTGTTAATTTTTCAATGGCTAAAGCCATGTTAAATTCGATCATCTGAGCCCGATGGCACTTCTGTAACCATCACTGGCTCAAGTGATTTTTCAGATGAGGCATCATCTTCCCACTTTTGTTGAGAAGTGGCATGAGGGGATCCTGGGCTTTTCGCTAAACTCATGGTCTTTTCTGTCGAATGAGAGTTTGGCTTGTTGAAGTTAATTTTCATTTTGCCTTTGTTTGAGAACTTCTTCAGTGGTGTGACCAGTTGAGTTTTCCCAGTTTTGTTTGGGCCCTCATGGAAGAGTTTGGCAAGTGTTTCTTCAAGATGAATCATAGTTTGTTTTTCCTTTTCGTTTGCTATTGCTGATATAGTAGTTGAAACTTGAAGATTTTGCTATTAAAAGATAAGAGGACAAGAAGGTCCCACTAGGCGTGCCAAGAAATTTGTACGACGAAATTTCGTGTATTGAAATACAGAAATCGTTACAAATTGTATTTTGATAAAATATAAGTGATGTTGACCTTCTTGTAATTGCAAAATTGCAAAAATCCTTCAATTAATGATCTGAATATTTGAAAACGAGGGGCCATGTAGCTTGAATCTTGGTCGTCGAGAATTTGTTGAGACTTGACTTGTTCAATGTTTGAACTTAAATTTGAATTTGATTTAATTTGAAGAAAACTTTGATCTTCTTGGACTTGGTGTGAACCGATTTGATTCAAAGAAGACTTTGATCTTCTAGGGGTTCATCGAGTTTAGGTTTGAGAGGATTTCTTCCCTTCCTCCAGCCTTGAAATTTCTTTTGCACTTCATGATTAATTTCTCTGCTTTCCTTCTTGCTTCGCCTTCCTCTTCGTCTATCCCTGTCTTATGGACCATTGGTCCTATTTATAGGGAAAAATTCGAGCTAATTTTGGTAATTATTCAATTATATTTAATTAAAATGAATAATTGAGTAATTATGATTTTATTTATTTGTTTGTTTATTTTAAAATGTGATATGGGCCTTTGGGTTTTTATGGACCTTAGTAGACTTAAAATTTAATTGGGCTAATGATTTAAATCGACCAAATCCATTTTATTTTATTATATTCATTTATTATTTTTTTATGTCTACAACACACACAAAAAATGGTTTTTACAAAAATCAAATTGTTAACCCTTTACTCTATCCAAACACCAGAAATCAGAGATTTCCCAAATCAATTTCACCATTTCTTCCAAGGTGATAGGAATGTAAAATGTCATATTTTTCATTCATTTACCTTATGCTTTTGTGATTAATTAACGCCTAAATGTATTGAATACCCTTATATTTTGATTTGGGTTGCAAATGGATGATGATGGCATAAATTAGAAGAAAAGAGCGAAAATGACTAAAGTGAAAGAAATGAAAAGTTGAAGGACTAAAATGCAATTATCCAAAAGTTGAACCGGAAGGTGAAACAAATGAGTGAAAGATTTGAAGGTTAATTGATGGAAGGCTCAAAGTGTTGGAAGAATGAAAATAAGAAAGAAGCCAAGAAAAGAGAAGATGAAAGTCCAGGGATCAAAGTGCAACAATTGAAATTATTTTATACTGCGCGCGAGTGCGGGCTTAAAGTGGCGCGTATGCGAGACCTCATTCTTGTTTACCAAGAGCAAAACAACAAAGTGACACGTGCGCAATGAAATATATGGCTCGCGGGCATGGGCCAAAATTTCTGTGACTGATCAGTTTCCTTATTTTGATGAAATTCTACATGAAAACAATATTTCTGACATCATATACATACCTAAAGACACCAGAATGAAGGGAACCTCCTTTTTGACCTAAAAATCTTATATTCTACATATTCTTGGAGGCAAAGAATGCCCCCATCCCCTTCTACTCTATTTTTGCTCCTAGAATTGATGATGCACAACTAATTTCTCTCTTGGTCGAAGTCTTGGAATCATTTTCAATTGTGAGATCCACCTAATTTTCATTGTTTAATTTATATTTTCAGTATTGAATATTCTTCCATGCCTAATTTTCATGATTTTTATGTTTGATTACTAAAAGGATCCATTAGTTTATCATGGGTTTCAATCTATAGCTAAATTAAATATCAAATCTATAATTGTTTGATTAATTTAACTTGTGAAGCGACTAGGATTAGTAATTTGTTGCTTTGGAAAATTATTAAATTTGGTTAAATGCAAACGCTTGGCTTGTGTTATCTAGGTCATTGATTTCTCTAATTTGAAAAGCCATTATTAAATTAAATTCTCACGCTTGTTTACGATTGTTTGGTAATGATGATTAATTAGATCGCTTGTTTCTAAATAATTAAAAGTAAGGAGAAATAGAAAATTGTTTTGAATGGGAAATTATTTTCCAATGATGAATACTAGAAGTATGAATTAATAATTATTTGTGGATCAATGACCAATTGTAAATCTCCAACGGTGAATGCTGACTTAGACAAAGGTTCATTCTATTGAAGTCATTTAATTCGATAATTTGTGTTTACGTTAATTGATATTTTTAATAATTGTTTATTTCAAAACCAAAAACCCCCCTTTTTAGTTAATTTAGCATAAAAAATAGACTAAATACTCTTCGAGAAATCAACCCTTACACCACTACTATATTTGTTTTGAGGAGTATAGGTTTTAATTTGGAGTACCCGCGACAGCACGCACCGAATCTTGGCGCCGTTTCGAGGAGTGATTTAGTTTATTTTTGTGCTTTTTGTTTGTTCACTTAGTTTTTTTTTTAAGGGACACATTGCTGGACATCAAACTTTGAAGGAGCTTGCAACTCCAAATTTGAACCAAAAACCTTTCTGCATCACTTTTCCTACTTTAGATATTGCCACTAATTTGAATTGAAGTCTGGACTAATACATATTTTGCTCACCTTTCATGGTCTTGCAGGTGAAGATCCCCATAAACATTTGAAGGACTTCCACGTGGTTTGCACAAGCATGAAACCTACGGGAGTAACTGAAGAGCAAATTAAAATAAGAGCCTTTCCGTTCTCTCTGAAGGATTCAGCTAAGGACTGGCTCTATTATCTACCATCTGGAAGTGTCACAACATGGAAGGAAATGAAGAGGGCAGCAAACATCCAAAAAGAAATTTGTGGCGTAATGCAGGACACTAGGGAATCCTTATATGAATACTGGGAGCATTTCAAACGACTGTGTGCAAGCTGTCCCCATCATCAAATCAGTGAACAACTACTCTTCCAGTATTTTTATGAAGGGCTTCCACCCACAAATAGAAGTATGATTGATGCTGGAGTGGAGGAGCTTTGGTGGATAAAACTTCCGAGGGCGCGAGGAATTTGATTGCAAACATGGCAGCCAACTCTCAACAATTTAGCACTAGACTCGACACTCTTTCTAGACATGTTAATGAGATAAATGTTTTATCTCTTGAACAACAACTTGCGAGACTAACTTCTCTTGTTCGTCAAATGGTTGTAGGTAATATGCAAACGGTGAAGGCATGTGGAATTTGTTCGGTGGCAGGACATCCAACTAACATGTGTCCAACTCTTCAAGAAGATGAACAAGTTAATGTAATAGGCAACTTTCATGGGCAACCACAAATGAATTATAATCCTTACTCGAACATCTACAGTCCAGAATGAAGTGATCATCCTAATCTTAGCTATGAGAATCAACAAGTGAATCAACCAAACTTCCAACAATAGAGGCAGCCATATCTTTCTAGACAACAACGGGACCAAACTTCAAGTTTTGGTATGTCTCTAGAGGATATTGTTAAGTCTTTGGCCACTAATACTTTACAATTTCAACAGGAAACAAAACAATTCCAACAAGAGGCAAGGGCAAATATTAAAAGTTTGGATAATCAAATGCGTGAAATGGCAACCGGAATCAATGGGCTGGAAGCACAAGGTTCTGGAAAATTACCCTCTCGAACAATAGTCAATCCCAGAGAAAATGCATGTGCAATCACCCTAAGAAGTGGTAAAGAGGTTGAGATTCTAGTAAAAATAGTCCCTACATCATCGAAGCAACAAAAGGAGAAAGATGTCACTGCAAACACGGATGTTCCCAATGACAATAACATAACTAAGCACAAGTTTTTACCTCTTTCTGATTATAAATCGGTACCCCCTTTCCCTCTGGCTTTAGTAGGATATAGGAAAGATGAACGAGATCATGAGCTTTATGATACTTTTGGTAGATGCGAGATAAATATTCCACTTATAGATGTTATTAAAAAGATACTTCATTATGTTAAATTTTTGAAACATTTGTGCAAGAGTAAGAGGAAACAAAAACTCAAGGGATGTGAAAAGGTAAACATTAGGGAGAATGTCTATGTAATTATTCAAAGAAAAATCCCCATGAAGTGCACAGACCCTGGTATGTTTACTATCCCTTGTACGATAGGCAAGATAGGCAAGACTAACTTTGAAAAAGTCATGATAGATTCAGGAGCTTCTATTAATGCCATACCATATTCTATATACACTTCTTTGAAACTTGGACTTTTAAATGAAACTGGTATTGTGATCCAACTAGCTGATAAATCTAATGCCTATCCTAAGGGTTCGGTTGAGGATATTCTTGTGAAAGTTAATATTTGATTTTTCCTGCTGATTTTTATGCACTTGATATGGGTAATAGAGATCAAACTATCCCCATTTTGTTAGGAAGACCATTCTTAAGGACATCTAAAACTAAGATAGATGTTCATGATGGCACACTAACTATGGCATTGGATGATAAAATTGCTAAATTCAATATATATGATTCCATAAAATGCCCTAATGATGATAATCCTGTTTACTCTATTAAAGTGATTGATCATTTAGAACAAAAAATTTTAGAATCTGATGAAAACAATGCAGTGAAAGTTGCCATTGATAAGCATATTGAGGAGGTGGATCGGGAGTTACCCTCAAATACTACCTTATAGGAAACCATTGAAGCATTGAATGCTTCTCCAAAGTCACCAAAGTTAGGTAAAAGTTTGCATAGTGTTTTGTCATTTTCTAACAAGAGACATTTTTATGCAGGTTTCCAAATGGAGGAGGTGAAAATATGGGACATTGGAAATCCAATTGATGTCGGTTGAAGAAGGAAGTAATAAGTCTAGCCAAAGATAATAAACAAAGGCGCTGCTTGGAAGGCAACCCAAGGGGAGTTCGTTCTGTTATCTTTTTATTTTTATCTTTTTACATTCATATGTTTGGTTGATGTTATCATTTTCTTTGCATTTTATCTTACATTGGGAGGGAATTTAGGTTGAGTCTAAAATTTCCAGTTCGTATTTTTGTGTTTATTTTTGACTTTTTGATAAAACTTCGACATAAGAGGGAGAAAACAAAGTGGTTTTGAACGATTTTAGTTGTGTATGCTATTTACTATATTCAATTAAACTTCTGAAGAAATCATAACATGATTGAACCGATTATCTCACAACTTAGAGTTAATTAGTTAAGTTATTTTCTTTGAGGATGGTAGTAACTAAATTTTGTAGACAAAAAGCCATGAGATTTTGAGCCTTTAGACCGACACATCCATATCAGTCTCACTATTTTTCTTTCAAGAGTGATATTCTTCCGTGGACTTATTTTGCTAGAACTTACCTTGATCCTCTTTGAGGCCATATTGATACATGCATGAACATGATTAAGGCCATCTTTGTTGCATAAGTCAGCCACTTTAGCCAAATAGCCTACCTAGCAACTAATTTTAACTTTTGTTAAGCCCCTTTGAGCCTTGTCGCATTTTTCTTTTGTAAATCGAAGTTATAAGCTTTAAATCTTAAAAAATAATATCTTTACCCAAGCCATAGAGCTAGTGAGGTATTGTTTTTCATTTTGATACATGGGAATGCGAAAGAAATAAGTGTGGGAATGTCTAAAATTTTGATAAGATTATGATGGTGGAATGGTACATGTTCTCAATTACAATTCATAAGTTCCAATATTAGTGCAATATTTTGAGTTTATAGTGATGGAGAAAATAGTTTTGAATGTTAGAAAATTATTTTATGTTCATGATTCCTCCTAATATATTACAAAAAGTGACTGGGTTGTGTGAAATAGGTGCAAAGAAGTTGTGAGTGGAGAGATTGATCTTACACTTTTTATGTATACGTTTGAACTAAGTTAATTCATCTTTACTTCAATAGTTTAATGGCTTTTGAATCACTTACACAAATACTTCCCACCTGGACCCTAAGCCACGTTACAACCCATAGAAAAGACCTTATGATTTGTATAATGTATGTGATCTAATTGGTGGAGAATGAGATGCGCAAGTATATGGTAGATCGTGTTCATTGGAATGAACTTGAGCAAAACACTTACCCATTAAACACATGGAGTTGAATGCTTATATTTCGTGAGGGTTTACAAGTTTGGTTTACTCTATCTTCATATGAAAGCGCTTGCTAGTTGATTATGAGTTGTGTCTCACATGCTTGTTCATGATGTGTTATGTATTTTAAAGAGTTTGATTGTTCTATATTGATTGCATTACAATTTTGATATTTTTGGAAAAAATAAAATTTGAGTTTACTCAAGGACAAACAAAAGCTAAGTGTGGGGGAATTTGATAGGAATGTAAAATGTCATATTTTTCATTCATTTACCTTATGCTTTTGTTATTAATTAACGCTTAAATGTACTGAGTACCCTTATATTTTGATTTAGGTTGCAAATGGATGATGATGGCATAAATTAGAAGAAAAGAGCGAAAAATGACTAAAGTGAAGAAATGAAAAGTTGAAGGACTAAAATGCAATTATCCAAAAGTTGAACCGGAAAGCGAAATGAATGAGTGGAAGATTTGAAGGTCAATTGATGGAAGACTCAAAGTGTTGGAAGAATGAAAACAAGAAAAGAAGCCAAGAAAAAAGAAAATGAAAGTCTAGGGATCAAAGTGCAACAATTGAAATTATTTTATACTGCGCGCGAGTGCGGGCTTAAGGTGGCGCGCGCCCGAGACCATATTCTTGCTTACCGAGAGCAAAACAACAAAGAAGCACGTGCGCAATGAAATATATGGCGCACGAGCATGGGCCAAAATTTTCTATGATGGGTCAGTTTCCTTATTTTGATGAAATTTTACATGGAAACAATATATTTGACATCATATATATACCTAAAGACACTAGAATGAAGGAAACCTCCTTTTTTACCTAAAAATCTTATATTCTATATATTCTTGGAGGCAAAGAACACCCTTCATCCCCTTCTACTCTATTTTTGTTCTTAGAATTGATGATGTACAACTAATTTCTCTCTTGATCGAAGGATATTGCAGCTTTGGAATTGTTTTCAATTGTGAGATCCACCTAATTTTCATTGTTTAATTTATATTTTTAGTATTGAATATTTTTCTATACTTAATTTTCATGATTGTTATGTTTGATTACTAAAAGGATCCATTAGTTTATCATGCGTTTCAATCTATAGCTAAGTTAAATATCAAATCCGTAATTGTTTAATTAATTTAACTTGTGAAGCAACCAGGATTAGTAATTTGCTGCTTTGGGAAATTATTAAATCTTAGGAAGAATATTTATCTAGGTTAAATGCAAAAGCTTGACTTATGTTATCTAGTTCATTGATTTCTCTAATTTGGAAAGCCATTATTAAATTAAATTCTCGCGCTTGTCTAGGATTGTTTGGTAATGAGGATTAATTAAATCGCTTGTTTATAATTAATTAAAAGTAGGGAGAAATAGGAAATTGTTTCGAATGGGAAATTATTTTCCAACGATGAATACTAGAAGTATGAATTAATAATTATTTGTGGATCAATGACCAATTGTAAATCTCTAACGGTGGATGCTGACTTAGACCAAGGTTCCTTCTATTGATTTCATTTATTACGTTAATTGCTATTTTTAATAATTGTTTGTTTCAAAACCAAAAAACCCCCTTTTTAGTTAATTTATCATAAAAGATAGAGTAAACACTCTTCGAGGATCGACCCTTATTACCACTACTACATTTGTTTTGAGGAGTATAGGTTTTAATTTGGAATGCCTGTGACAGCACGCACGACATGGCAATCAATTTTCCCAAACCAGATCTAAATCAACATAGAAAATATAAATTTGAAAAAAAAATATATAAGCTTTGTTGAGTCACTTCATCAAATAGAGTTTCTAAATCTAGAAAGATCTTTGGGCATTGTATATTTTTTCTATGCTACGTCAACTTGACGAAATCCCTATTAACTTGCATTATACGTGCACAACTTGTTAAATGATCCACAATTACATTCACGATGCTTTGAACTTAAAACAGAATCATTTCCCAATTTAAATAAAAAAATAAAGATTTGATCATTCGAGAAACTCACTTGAGTCACTCAAACAAAATACCATAACATAAAATTGTTTTAGAAAACCTTCAAGCCGAACGTAAAATGAAAATAATAATTTGTAATTTGAGAAACTCCAATACAATCCCTCAAACAAATTATTGCAACATTCGAAAATGAAATCTTACTCTCCAATTTTAAATGTGAATACTACATTATTGGTCTTTATTAATAACAAATTAATATCCAACCTTTAAAAATGAGTAAATTAGTCTTACGACCTTTAAATACAATATAAAACAAAAATCATCACCATATCATATAAATCATCCTTCACATTTATTGAGATGACAATTTAGCTCTCCGGCTCGATCCAAAGAAAGCCCGAGAAGACTTGATTCGAGAACCGAGCCAAAAGCTCGGGTAGAGCCCATTTTGGGCATCAAACCGAGCTCGAGCCAACTCGTTAAAAAAAAGGCAACTGCGCAACTGCTTTTAGCGTATTGCCCATTTAAAGGGGCAGCTGTGCAAGCTGCCTAATGTGTTATATTATTAAAAAAACTAGCTGACTTGATAATGCCCAAGCCGAAATCTCAGTTCGAGCCTTAATGTTTTAGCCAAGCTTTTGCTCAGCTCAGCTCGCGCAAAAAAAGTCCAACTTAATTTTACTCGAGTCGAGCTCGAGCCTCGACTTGCGAGCTAGCTCAGCTCGGTTCATTAATATCCCTACACACATATGATGATATGAAGCTAGATTTTATTATTGATTGTCGTGAAAAGTCACCAAGGACTTTGATTTCGTGTGTAAATTGGGCTCAGTTTCAATAATAAATTGATCAAACATCAACTCAATCGATTGACATCAACTCAATCGATTGACCTCAATCCACAAACTTTACCATGATTACCACAGAGTATGAATCACAGAATAGTGGTTGCCACATCAATTTAATTGCACACACATGGTTTCACTTAAACAGGGACTAGCATACATAGTTTTAGTGATAAATAGAATGAGCCAGTAAAAAATAAATGAGATGGGCCAAAAAACTAAACAAATTGGGCTAGTATAAGGTGGGCCAACAAGAAAGGCAAAGTGGGCTAACATTTAAAAGTGCCATCCAACTAATGAATGGACCACAAGCAGCACATATTAATATTTGCTTTTAGTGGCCGACTCGAGCCAATCAATTATGGTGTCGATAGTCATTTCACTTATCAATCGAAATCTATGAAATTAATCCAATAGTTTAAACATCATAGACCGAATTTATTAGGTATCGAAATCCAATTAATCTCCACC